TGCCTACGTTCACTGCGGGACCCGTCGTCGCTTCGGCAGTGGTCCCGAGTGACCTCTCTCATGGCTCACTAGGCCTGCCTGACTAAGGCACTCGCGACCGCATGTTCTACAACACAATGCGCTCGATGTCGATGGAGTACAATTCATCGGTGCTTGCCGCTTCCGCACTTGCCGCTTCTTCTCTACATGCATGAGGGCTTTCTCCCGCACCTCAGCAACTGCCTTCGTGATTAGATCGCGCCATGCACCACGATCAACCGCCTTCGATTCCCATGATCTGCAATCAAGATTAGAACGTGTGAGGCTCACTTTAATCTATATATATATATATATATATATATATATATATACAGATATATATATATATATATATATATATATATATATATATATATATATATATATATATATATATATACAAATTGCAAGTACGATCCTCCTAATCCCGAATGTGAGCCAAGCGTCCCTAGTGAAAGAAATGTAGCACATGTGGCCCTCGGCGGGGTCCCCAGTCTGACCAATCTGCTTCAGAGTAGTGCCGGAGCTCATGATCACGTTGGGCGTTCAGATCGTTTTAGCACGTCTTCAACCAACCTTGGCCGTCAATTCGTTACTGCTTTTAACATCATCATCATCATCAGCATCATCATCATCATCATCATCATCATCATCATCATCATCATCATCATCATCATCACAGCTATTGTGCCGCAATACAAAAGACAAGAAAAAAACAAACGGTGGCACGCCCGCTGAGTCCCCAGTAACGGATGGACCTCGTTCCGGAGAGCTAACAGCTGGCTGCCGTAAAAGAGAATCATATTATGCCTAACAAGTGAGATCGTGATTGGAGGTGAATGCTAAGCAGGAGGGGGATGGACAAAAGAACTCACAACACAAACGCCGTGGGGGCCGACTCCAAGCCATATCAGCGAGTGTGTCCAACCAAACGTGTTCACCGTCCTTAGGACCCCAGCCAGACAGTCGGGATGCACCCACCGACGCCAACTTCAAAGTGAGGGCTTCGTTTCTCTCGACCAAGTCATCACTTGGCCTCCCGTCCTCCTCTTCCAACCGCACCCACAACGCACAAACAATGCACGTCGCGGGAGTCGGTGTGCTGGCATGCGCAAGACATGGCCCAGCCATCGGAGCCAGGTGCGTGATATAATGGTGCTGAGCGGTTCACTCGCTCTTCCTGCACCAAATACGCGACATCGAACACGCTCATTGCTCACGCGGTGCTCGCGCCAGACATGAGCTGAGCTGCGAAGGCAGCGATGATGGAATATGACGAGCCGCTTTATGTCTGTCGACCTGATGGTCCAGGTCTCACACCCATATAGGAATGTTGAACGGACGGCTGCGTTTTAAACTCTGACCTTCAGGGCGAGAGTAATGTCGAATCTGCGAAAACAGGGGGCGGAGATTGGCAAAAGCAGCTCGAGCTTTTGCTATACGGTTCGTAACCTCTTCTTCAATCCCACGGGTGCTAATATAGCTGCCCAGGTACTTGAATTCCTGAATGACTTCTAGCTGATCACCACCAAGCGTTAGCGCAGGGGTGAGTCCCTGCCAGTCTTGGAGAAGTACTTGGCATTCCGATAGAGCAAAGCATAGCCCAAAACGATTGACAGCCAGTGCTAATCGGTCCAGTGCTGTTTGGCATGTTTGGGAGCTGTCACAGACTAGGGCAAAATCGTCCGCATACTCCAAGTCAAGAAGTCGCTCACCAGGAAGTAGCTCCACACCTTCTAGGTCATGTCCAGCTAACGCTGTTTCTATGACTTCATCAATAGTGAAGTTGAAGAGAAAAGGTGACAGCGGGCATCCTTGTCTCACACCTCTGATGATACTGAAGCGTAGCGACAGTTTGCCATAAACCCTCACTCTGTCCGCACTATGCGCGTACAGCGCTTTGATAATGTTTACATATTTATAAGGTACACCTTTCCTCAGCAGACAGTCTCAAAGTGAACATCGATCGACTGAGTCGAAGGCACCTTTTATGTCAAGAAACACGACAACGGTGGGTCGCCAATAAACGTGGCGATGCTCCAACAATTGACGCAATGTGAAGATGTGGTCGATGCATTCCCGACCTCGACGAAATCTTGCTTACTCTTCACGAATCTGGCTTTCACGAGTGCAAGTCAGTCTGGAGAATGACAGATGCAAACAATTTAGAGGCATTCGAAATCATACTGATCCCTTTATGATTGCCGCATTACAAACGGGGGTTTCCCTTGAAAATTGGGCAATGACGAAGCGGTTCCAGTGTGTCGGGACAGCCTCCTGCTCCCAAAGTTTCACCAGCAACTCGTGTAAATCATCTACTAAAGCAGGTCCCCCGAATTTGAAGAGGGCTGGGGGAATTCTATCTGCCCATGCGGCCTTATTCAATTTCAACAGCCTGATCTCACGTTCGACTTCTGCGCGTGAGGGCGGATCCAAGGAGACGGCCCAGGGAGAAGGGCGCGCAATGTCTGAAGAAGAAAGCGATAACTCAGGTTGATTAAATTGTAGTGTTCAGCCCAACGCTCCAAGCGTTTTGACAGGCTGTGGATCGGCTGCCCACTCTCGTCACGTATGGTCTTGCTAACACCAGGTTTCCTGCTGCCTGTTTCCCGTATCAGACGAGGATTACCAACGGCAGCGGCGGTTTCCATCTCAGAGGCACGTTGAGATCACCAGGTTTCGCGGTCGTTCTTCAGGCTAGCATGTAGTTTTGCCCTGAGATTTTTGCGAGCCTCATTGTATTCGCTTCCAGCTGGAATACGTTGGCGAGCATCCATAAGTTCCAGAGACTGTGTAGAGACCCAATGTCTGGTTTGGGAATTTGCTTTGCCACATGAAGACATGCCTGCTAACAGCAACGCTTGACGAATATGCGACCAGTGATCTTTAACTGTGTTTAGTAGGCGCTTACTCAGTCCACGGAGCCACTGGCATCAGCAGTGCAACTTTAGTTCCAGTTTCTCCTGGTATGATGTTTGTAATATGCTACTATGAACATAACCCATCGTAAGTGTGACCTGAATGCTTGTCATTATGCCACTATCTGGGCATACTGAATTCACTGCATCGCAGCAGCTAGCTAAAACCAGCTACTAACATGCTCTTTGTAAGCTATTTTCTGCAGCATTTTCCATTGGTTATCACCAGATACTACTACCATATTTTGAGCCGAATGTACTGCCCGCTCCATATAAATGACCACTGGAATTCGCTTTAGTGCAAGTTATAATTGTCCACTGTTTTTAACCACCCCCATTACTATTCATACGCCCTGTTTAATCAATGTTTTATTACTATTTTATTACTTCTTCCCTTTCACGGCTTTCTGGGTTGAAATTCTTGCTGCTTTACTGGAAGGATTCTCAACAACGCCATATTTTCTCACCAGCGGAAAACAGTCTACACACAGTTCGGTACAAAACATGCATACATTGTCAGGAAACCTTTACTGAAAAGTGTCTCGTCCAGAATCACAACATTTATTTACCCATCTAACGGCTGGTATCTTCCTGGCTGAAGTCACACACTGAAATGTTGAACGGCTAGTTACGTCGCATGTGTAGCTCATCCGTTGGGTTAAATACACTGAGAACCACTAACTTCTGTAGTCTCGGAGTATCATACTTGTCACTCGGTCAACCCATTTCTACACCACTTTTTCGCTAACAGAATGTGCCTATAGTTGTGTAAAGATAGAGATGTTTGGTAGCTACCGATCTTGGTAACTCCACTCAGTACGCAATCAATTCTCACTAGTGTTTCTAGAACGACGGAGATGATCAGGGGTGCAAATGTACTGCCGGAAGCAATCCCCCAAACCACAGGTGATATTCGTACGACTCAAGCAAACGGAAGTGCCCAACGCTTGAAATGATATTCTATCGTATGAAATTTGGCCTGCTAATTATGATTGGGGCCAATTCAGGGTATTAGGTTCCTGTTTGGTTCCTGGTTGATGAATCTGGCCCTTCACAGTTGTCCCCAAAAGATTATATGAACTACAGCCCGCAGACCTAACTGGTCGGTTATTTTGCGTTGCTCCAGAGTTGCGCAATCAACTTACGGACGACTGGATCGGATACCGTTGCTTCGGACTTGCACTGTGAATCGGCGGCGCTCGTAACTTACCGCTATCCCCAGTCATTCCGCAGCCATTCTCTGTGGCTGTCATGCACACCTATCCGACTGTCCGAACTGCGCACGAACTTTCGGTGGCATGCAACGGACCAATCACGGAAAGATCAGTTCCATTGATTGACGGTCACCACCAGTGTTTATGTCCTCCGACTTTCTCACCCCTGTATGCTTTTGGCAGGGCCAAAACGTGTGACACTTTGCCACGTTGGGTTAGCTAGTCGAGCCGTACGGTTACCCTAGCATTCACTATCTACCCCTCTCCCGCCTATCAACTTCGTTCGTGTGTTGTCAGTCCCTGTGTGGCACAGTATCGTTCGCTCACCCCTCCTGACAGTCGAGTTATACGGGATCGCCAATGAAACACCCAGAGCGCGATGGACGAAAGGCTTGTTGTTCGCGCACGTGATAACGCAAAATTGACTGCGATGCGTTACGATGAATTTTGGTCATCACTGCAGAAAATCAAGCAAGCCACATAATAATTTTGCAGAATACCTGCCGTTTGCCATCGAGTGACTTATATGAGAAGTCTCAACGAAACGGGTTGAAACGACAGCGCCACGTGTACCGGCCTAAGTACATAGTCAATCCGTCCAATGGAAACGCAATCACATAATGTGCACAGCTGATTGGCTGTTCAGGGCCAAGTGCTCCGAGGTCATGGAGACCTGCGGTACCAAAGTACCGTTGGGTATCAGTAACAGCCTAATCCAGGTATTTTCGTTGTCTCACTCCACACGCAGACTATCCGAAGTGCAGGCATCGGAAGTTGTTTTAACCACTGAGAATAGGACATACTGTTTTGTCAAGTCCGAAAAGTAAGCAGCTTTATCGTTGGGAGAAACAATTCATTTCAGCGGACTGACCAACTGTTGGTAGGGATCAGTACACCACTAACTGGTTTGTTATCAAAAGGGAAAGCATTCTGTTCATGTGCCCTATGGATAACAGAGCAGTCCCATGGAGCCTGTCTCCCGCACTGGACACCTTGTTTCCACGCCATATTCCCCATTACCTACAGCAGCCCCAACCCGACTGGAGCAACCCCGAGCCCCATACCAACCAGACGGTTAACCGCAATGACTACCTCAATGCACAGTCGGCCAATCCCTTGGCAGCCTTATTTGCAACGCCCTTTTCCGAGGCTCACCATCACCTGCAGAGCCCGAGTGATTTCTGTCCGTCGTCATGCCAGGTACCAGTGACTTTTGTCCCCTCTGGCAATCCTACTCAACAGCATTTGAAAGTAACCCCATCGTATTATTGCTCCTCTACCGGCTTTCTTCATACTGGGCGGAGTGGTATTGGGCCTTCTGACAGGCTGTCACCCGGACGCTTACTGAGGTCGACCGAACCCGAGGCATCGGGCTCCGCCGCTCTCTTGTGTCCCCCAGATCATGCGGTGTCACTTCCAAGAAGACCCACGTTACTCGAAAGGGAATATCGATTTCCACAAGCCCAAACATTTGAAAACGAGGCGTTCCATTCTTTTTTCGCCACTTGCCCACAGATTGGCTTCCTTAATCCGTCAGCCAAATACGCCAGATATGCAGCACCGCAAAGTTTGCGATCGGCAGCTGTGAACTCCTCCGTTTCATCATTCCTGGACTTGCGAACAGAGGCAAAGATGAACGAAAACCGGTTCGAGACGGGTGTGTTGGGACCCGGTGCTTCATGTGCAATTGGTGGCAGCACTCAGACTCAGTGCCTATCACACTTGTCGGCATTGAGTGCACAACAGCAACCACAGCATCTGCATTCACAACCCATGCATCCAGCCCTTTCCACTTTGCCATCGTCTTCGCTGACCTCCGAGGCTTCGAGCAACACGGTAGCTGCAGTCGCTGCCATAGCGGCAGCGGCGAATTACATGGCCGGCAATACCGATTTCAGTCAGCTCAGCTGTCATTCAGAAGGAGCCAACGGTATACTGGATACAAGGCTGTCGGATCGATCATCGTCCTCGCCGCTGGAGGCGCACTGTAACCAGAACCCGGACTCTTCCGCCACGGTGATAAGTTCGAAATCCTCCTCCTTGTCGCCAACTCAGATATGGCCATGGATGACCGTTGTTGGTGAGTGACACTGGTAATCATCTTTTGAATCTGTTCAACTACTCTTAACTTATTCGCACGTAACAATTAGCGGTAGCTAGAGACAGGGTTCATACCACATTCCGAACCGAATTCCAGTGTTTGTTAGACCACCTGTTCGCTGAGCTCGGTAATTTTGTTGCAAACGTTTCGTCACCAGTCAAGGTGACATTTTCTGTGCGTTCATATGTAACAGGACAAAACCATGCGAGCAGTTCATCTAAGAAACGAATTCTATTATATTCTGAATTAATGTGTATTATTGATGCACTAGCTGCAGTCAAGCGAGAATTGAACTTAAGTGTAAGGGGAAGTGGACGCTTTACGAAAAATGTGTCAGTCCACACTTAAGAGAATGCACTCCAGACAATGATCACATACTCATGGACGTAGCAAGGGCGGTAGCTAGATAGATGCATGAGAAGCAGAGGTTTTCCGCAAAAGTGGTTGACGCATTTAAGGGGTTGTACAGAAGCTATTCTTGAGGTCTAGCTAGAAGGAACACGCACTCGTCGCCTGTGTGAACTCTGCTCGGCTCTACTCTCCAATGTCTGCTGAATCCCATTCTACAAAGTTTCCACGGCACGCAGTACTGGGCTTCCCACCAAGCATTGTGTTTTGAATGTTGACGAATATGAGAGAATGGTGTTGTTTTGGATCACTTCTACAGCAGCACTGGATTTTGATCGAGACACCGAATGTTTTTCAAGTTCCTTGTTGAAAGTTGCCAAAAAGTTACTTAGACTTTCGACAATATGACTGCAGTCATTTGCCCTAGGTTTTGTGGTAGTTAAGATGTGCTACGTGTGTATAAACTACCCCACTTATGCATAACTTTGAGAGGGAAAGGTATCGAGGTCTATCAAGATATACCTGGGTCAATGGAGCCTAGGATCGCACTGCTCCACAAGATAGCATTAATGATGCTCTCCATTTGTCTCATACAGCGCTTGTCTGCCGAAAATTCCTACACAGCTACACTACGTTATTTGAGTTTTCGGTTCTCGTAACAGTGCTCTCACATGTGCAATGGGTATCTCCGTAAATCCATCGGTCGCGCCTTCGTTAGTGACTTCGATGTACATGGGTCAACGATTGTTGCTGACTTATCACATCTCCGGCCCCTGAATTGTACAACTAGACGCCTTCTGAAACAACCTCACGGTTCCAATTGCTTATACGCCAATCAGTGTTACACAAATCTCAGCAGTAGTATCTCGACCAATTCAGCAATAGTGGCTGTCTGCTTTCAATGGCCCGCTGTACCTTGCTCATTATCGTAGCGGCCCTCAGAGAATGCAAGAAAAAGCGGTCTGGGTCTCGATCAGAAATCTAGTATCTATAGAACACAAGCTCATTTTATACGTCGCAACAACTAGAGGCGCTCACAAATTTACACCACATCTCCTTAGTATCGCTTTCGCGGCAAGCTTCTTTCATGTTCGTCTAAATCGATTGCGATCGACCAGCTTTCAGACTGTTGGCCCAAAATCGTTAAGCTCGCTCATTCGCTAAACAACTAGTATCTTGCCACCATATCCTTCTATTTTTTGTAGTTCTTGTGTCGCAATTTCCAGATCCTCTTCCACTGTGGCCAGAATTGCTGTCTAGCGGAGTAGCAGCCACAGTTAGCTCGGGTTGCAGCAGAACCTTAGCTGCGGGGAGGCACGTCGTTCGTCTGCGACTGAAAAAACGCTGATCAAACTTGTCCCGACCTCAGCAGAAAGCTCATTGTTTCTTTCTAACATCATGAGTCGAGAACCTTCATGCGTCTGTTTGGCTTCATAAGTCGTTTCTTTATTTTCGTGACAGCCTTCATGGCGGTTTTCATTTTCGACGGTAGCAACGACCTGTTCGACCTTTTGAAGCAACTGTGCAACGCCCTGCCCTCTGCTCCGATTCCGTTTTTCGCGAGTAGCATGTCGTTAGTGACTTGACTCACGCTGTGATGACGCTGGTCATTCGTGTGTCAACGACTTTGGAAAGACGCACTCTTGTTCTCTATGGTACTCTGCATAATTTGTTGTGGGATTGCGTATCGCTTGCTGATCTTCACTGTCCACTCAGTAGACATCAACTGACCGACTGCAACTAGCGAAATGGTTTGATCGACCATCACAACACTCACTGAACTTCGGTTATTTGCGAAAGATCAACTTCTCGGTTATGCCCACAGAAATTCCACGCCTCCATTATACGCCACAGTTCCTGGCCGATGGCGCACCGGAACATGGCACGCTGGTATGGTCTCGGATATTCATCCAAATAGATTAGAGCGGCGAAGTCCATGCATTTCGCTTTCACACTCTCCACTTATCCGGTAATGTGCTTTCTGTTATCTGTTGGATATGTGGCGATGGGATCAACGATTGTTCATCAAAAGCGAGCGGCGTTTGGTACGTTAATACTTCTGTCACCATGTCGTATTGGCCCTCAGAGAATCCACGAAAGATGATGTCTGGGCCTCGATCAGAAATCTATTATTCTTATAGCACAAGAGCATTTTATATCCCACATCGCTTTCTCTGTCAGGGTTCATATCGGTCTAAATCGATTACGCACTGTCATTCGGTTTCTGTCCGCAGCGATCGACCAAGTTTCAGACTATCGGTCCAAATTCCTTAAGCCCGTCCATTCGATAAACAACCAGCATGCGCATCCAGCATCCATCCTAATCAGCGAATGGCTAGCATCGCTTACCAGAGGGTGCTTGTGATCAAGAGCTGAAGCGATATTATTTCTACTCGGTTGTCGCCACTTCCATACATGCTTCTGTTCACATGATATTTACAGTCCGAAGATACATTCGAGTGTTGCGGACGTCAACAACAGCTGTCCTATTGCAATGTCCAGTGCGCCTGACTGAAGGTTGTCCAATCTGGGTGACGTATCGTTCCTCATTACGGCCCCACATACCTTTGTTAGTGGGTGTAAAGTGACGACGAGGGAAAAGACTTTGCACCTCGGTGACATGAGGCACGCAATCGTCCGATGGGTGACATGCGCCGCAGCGATGGTATCGTCAATCGCTACATTCCCTCAGCCTAGTCAGATACTGTAGGAATGATTCGTTGTGGCTTTGGGGTGGCGCATTAGGGAGTACCTGGTAAGAAATGTAACGATTTCACCACCTTCGACTGAATGGGGTCAATACAAGCGATCTTGCTGTGTTAAAATGCGGACACTGGTGGGTCAGTTTGTTAGCACTGCGAAGTAGAAAGCACTGGGAAGCCAAACACATTTCAGTGAGTAAATGTAAGTTGTAGAAAAGATTGTCGCTTATGGCTTTCCACAGCTACACATTTACAAAACACTCGAAACAATATTCAGCAATGTCAAAAAGCGTAAAGGTAGTACAGATCAGATTGCTATCGGCCATCAAGAATCTCGACGGAATTCCTATACACAAAGGGTTCCGTGAGGTACAACGCACATTTGCATTTGTGACACGGAATTAGGAAAGAAACTTTTTTGGCGTCTTATCCTTCTTTTCGTCTTCATTTCAGAGTAGATTTACAGTTAGGGACCTCCGTCCAACTTACTGAGCAACTGAAACACTACAGACCTCGAAGTGTTGCGGAAGTCACCGTGGTATTCGATGAAGTTGGCTCAGGACGCTAATAAGGAGTCTTTGCGGTAGACCACTTATCTCTTGATAACCCTCGAAACGATAAAACGCGGTGCTACCAAGCCAATACGTTGCTTTGGTGTTTACAATATCCCTCGTTCAGCAATTGAGCTGACCGACTAAGTTTCTAACAGGTGGATTTTACCGGAAGCGCCATATCTCCTAAAACACCATTTTCCGCACTACGTATAAGCTGACGGGTGATGAATTTGAATTATCACTTGCGACTGGTTAACACAGCTTTGACCTGGGAGTTTGTTAAATTGTCGCTGCAAGGGCATTTGCCTTTAACTTTTCGACTATAACTGCGCCGTGTTGTAACTACAGGATATTGCGGGTTTTTGCAATGACGTTTTTAGTGCGAGATTTCCGCCAACACAGCTTGCTGAAATGTGTGAGATCACTACGTCTACAGCAGCTGATTGACGGGGATCAAGCATGAAGTTGGACTTGCATCTGCTGCGCTCCGACCGCCTGCGTCATAGTGTAGTTACACAACGTGTAATAAGTTTACGATTTAAGTAGTTAACCTTGATCAATAAGCATTACTGCTTCAAGGATTTCTCCATAGTTTCCGAAGATAATTAAGGATAATACAGAGATGACGTATATCTGCTCAAATTTTCGAACTCGTGATCGAGATGCGCATAAATGACTTCGTTATCTCAGCCCATCACGGATGGAAGTTCTACGAAGCGAGCAGCTGACAAACTTGAATATGCAGAAGACAGCTCTCTTCGGGCCAGATACACTACTGAATGAACAAACGCTTATCGCTGCACGGTGCGGCATGTGATTCGTATATTCAAAGGGTAAAGTATGGTTGCAACACTGCTCCGATTAGCCCCGAGTTCTAGCTTCCAATGTACAGCCATTGGAAGCGGTTGATCGGTTCACTTACCTTCGTAGTTGTGACTTCTGGTGGCCACAACACTGAGGAGGCTACTTCGCTTATCAACAAGGCCCGTGTGGTTTTACAGAGGCCCACTTATCCCTGGAAGCGGCGAGATGTCAGCCTGTCAATGAAAGGTAGGGCGTATGGAGTTCCGATAAGGCCGGTGCTAATGTATGGCCCATTCGCAATGAAGATATTAGACGCTTGGCTGAGTTTGATCAACGGTTCAAATTACTTGAAGTAACACTATTTCTAATTACTTCCGATATTCCAAATAAACAAAACACCTATCTTTGATCAACTTATCATTAGACCGAGTGGTGATGTACGTTTATGAGACGGCTGATATTGTTTAATTCTAACAATTTTTGGTATATTTCGTACGGTCTCGGCTAATACACATCGTAGTTTTTGCTTCCCTTTTGTTTTCATTGTCAAGATTGTCGAGAATCCAGTTTAACAACTAT